TTAGAGCTTTAGTGTCTTTACTTATTTTTTGTCTCGTTGATCTATCCATAGTTGATAGTGGTGTGTTGAAACCTCCCACTATGTATGTGTTTTCTCTGATGTCTGTTTTCAGAGATGACAATAGTTGTCTGATATATTTTGGTGCTCCTTCCTTTGGTGAATATATGTTAATGAGTGTTATTTCTTCTTGAGGTATTGTCCCCTTGATCATAATGTAGTGACCGTTGGGGTCTCTTTTTATCTTTTTGAGTTTGAAATCTGTTTTATCTGATATAAGTATAGCTGTTCCTGCTTTCTTTTTTGGTCCATTTGCTTGTAGGATTGTTTTCCATCCTTTAACTTTTGTGGCTAAATGTGTTTTTATCTTTTGTGGCTAAATGTGTTTCCTGGAGACAGCAAAAGGTTGGGTTTTGTTTCTTCATCCAGCCTGTGACTCTGTGTCTTTTTATTGAAGAGTTTAGTCCATTTACATTTAGAGTTAATATTGATATGTTAGCATCTGTATTTGCCATTGTGTTTGTCTTTCCTTTATTTTTATTTATTTATTCTTTAATAACTTTTTTTTTTTTTTGGCCTTCTTTCATTGTTATTCATTACTCTGAGGTTCTGGGTTTAGGACTCCTTGTAGTATTTTTTGGAGTGGGGGTTTAGTCGTAATGAAATTCCAGAGTTTCTGTTTGTCTGGGATGGTCCTTATTCTTTCTTCATAGAGGAAGGAGTGCTTTGCAGGATAGAGTATTCTTGGCTGGCATCTTTTTTCTTGGAGTCTGTTGACTATGTCCCTATACTCTCTACTTGCCCGTAGTGTTTCTTCAGAGAAGTCTGATGTCAGCCTAATTGGTTTTCCTTTGAATGTTATCTGTTTCTTCCCTCTTGTCAGCTTCATAATTTTTTCCTTTACCGGAGTCTTGGGAGGTTTACTATTATGTGTCTTGCTATATTTTTCCTTTCGTCATAGATGTTTGATGTTCTTCTTGCTTCTTGTATATCAATTTTCAGCTCCTTCTTCATGTTTGGGAAGTTCTCTTCAATTATCTCCTTAAATATTTTCTCTGTTCATACATCTCTCTCCTCTCCTTCTGGTATTCCTATAACTCTTGTATTTCCTTTCCTCATGGAATCAGATAGTTCCCAAAGTCTTTCTTCTGTCTTTATCCTTCGTACTTCTCTTTCCTTTTCTGTTTTGGTTCTTTTTATTTCTGTGTCTTCAAGAGTACTTATTCGTTCTTCCATTTCATCTAATCTGCTTTCATTGCTTTTCCCAGAGTACTTTAGTGCCTCCATTTATTCTTTGATCTCCTGCATTTCTTTTACTTCCCTCTTTAGGGACTCAATTTCTTTCTTCTGATTGTTTATTATTTTCCCCTTATCATTGTTCTCCTTTATGACTTCTGTCAGTTTTTTAATCATGGCTATTTTAAATTCCCTTTTTGTAAGGCTCAGAAGTTCTTCCAAGTTACTGTCATTGCAATCTGTGGGGGTGGTTTTCTTTTTGTGGTGTGCTTTTTCCTGAGGAGTTGCTAGGTTCCGTGTGGTTCTTCTACTCCCTACTGACTGTTTTCTAATTGGCCTCATGCATTGGGACACTGTGTTGTTGGGACTGGCCGGCATCTTGGGTGAACTTTTCCACTCCCCTCTGGCTCCTCTGGGAGTCATCTGTCGGTTTCAAGCAGTCTTTACTGAAGAAAGGCCCCTGTTCTAAAATGCTGATGTGGGGACATGCTTCCCTACGCACCTGGTCTGCCCTGGGGGTGGATTCCCGCTCCCCCTCTGGGCTCAGACTGCAGGCCAGAAGGGGCCTGGCGTGGGCGAACTTCCCAGCTCACATCTGGCTCCTCCAGGAGCCTTCTGCTGGTTTCAGGCAGTCTTTACTGAAGAAATATCCCTGTTCTAAAATGGCAATGTGGGACTCACTCCCTGCTTGCCTGGTCTGCCCTGGCAGTGGGTACCCGCTCCCCCTTTGGGCTTGGACTGCAGGCCAGAAGGGGCCTGGCATGGGCAAACTTCCCAGCTCACCTCTGGCTCCTCGAGGAGCCTTTTGCTGGTTTCAGGCAGTCTTTACTGAAGAAATATCCCTGTTCTAAAATGGCGATGCTGGACGCACTCTCTGCGTGCCTGGTCTGCCCCGGCAGTGCGTTTCCGCTACTCCACTGGGCTTGAACTGCAGACCAGAAGGGGCCTGGCATGGGCGAAATTCCCAACTCACCTATGGCTCCTCTGAGAGCCTTCTGCTGGTTTCAGGCAGTCTTTACTGAATAAATGTCCCTGTTCTAAAATGGCGATGTGGGACACACTCCATTTTAGAACTCTTAATAAAGACAAAGGTAGGCAATATATATGTCCTATCATTTTACTCTGATTAGAAGTCAAACAGAGGTCAATACTATACTTAAAAATGCATCTTTTTTCAAGATATAATAAGGCTCGATTCAGAAAACAACCAACAGCTAAATCCCAAAACAAAACAAGTCCCTTCTGTGAATTCAAATTCAGTACTATTCCTACGTACATTAAAAAGATAATAGCCCTATTTTTCTTTCACCTGGCTCACCCTTTTCCTGCCTATACCATATTGGAATTGGTCAGACATATTCTGGCAAATAGGAATGCCATATATGTCTGGCTGTGTTTGACGGTATTTCCAGAGGTTGTTGGTATTGATTTGGTAGAATAAGTAAAGCCAGTGTTATTTGTCTTAAATTCGTCTATATTTTGTATCTTTCACCAAGCTTCTAATTATGAGACTTCCCTCAGATATTATGTCATACTGTATTCCAAGAACTATGCTAGTAATAAGAACAAGAATATTTTGCTTTTGTGACAGTAGAGATTGTCATGAGAGAAACTTGAGGGATAAGGTGGTGTGCAGCAACCATCCCAGACCCAGTAAACCATTGGGTTACTACAAATATAAAAGAGTAATACCCTATTTGGAATTTTCTCTATAGGCGTGTAAGATCATTTTAATTTTACAAATATTTTATAAATATTTATTAATAAGCGGGAGTGTAGGCATTCTACTACCTGTTACAAAATGTATAAAGATTTCTAAATTATAACTAAAACGGTTTGTAGGCCAAAAATAAGAAGAGTAAATAACCTCTTACAAGCTTGAAATGGGTTTCAATCTCTTTGAAAGGATTGGTAAATACATCATGGAAGTAGTAACATTTGGAATAGACCTGGAAGAAATATACCATTTCAATTTTAATGATAATGAGGCAGTAGGTTAGGGAAGAGTCTCTGTGGGGAGACCTACTTGAATGCCGGATGAAATAATCAATGAGGTTTTCAACAGAGTGTTCAATAATTCTCTTGTGGTTTAACCCAGAGTTCAATAGAAATTGTGCAGAATTAAACTGTATAGTTAAAGCCAGATTTTCTTTGAAGGCATCTCAGCTATGTGGGGTGATATTTATTCATGTATAATCTGGCAGCAGTGACCATTCAAAATAATTGAGAGGGATACAATTTAATCAGAGTTATTTTGCAAAGAATGATCAGGCAGCTATGTTCAGAAAGAAAGTGAACATCAGTGAGCTAAAAGGGATGAGTAACTAAAAATTCTCCAACACAGAGGCAAGGATTTGAGGATAAGGGTAGCAATGGTATTAGTAAGAATGTGTGTGCAATTTTAATGTTGAGAGAGGAATGGTAGAGAAGGGCCTAAAAATAGGACACTTATTGGGGGCTTCCCTCGTGGCACAAGGGGTTAAGATGCAAACTGTGAATCTCAGCACAGCCACTACAGCACAAGTTCAATCCCTGGTCAGGGAGGTGACCCATATGGCACAGCAGACCTCTCCTGACTCGTCCACTGCTCCCCTCAGCAGTGTGTTTCAGAGGATCTGCCTGTTCTGTTCCCCACTCTGTCTCTGGGCAATCCTCTCACCCCCCAAAACTCTGGCCAGTGCCCCAGTTCTTGTATGTATAAATAAATAAATCTTTAAAAAAAAGGACACTTACTATATTTTAATAATATGGAATGTGAGGAAAACTACCCAGCAATGAGTTAAGCACAAAGCAATCAAATTCTTGCTCATTTTAATGCCTTTCCAGACAGCAACTGAACAGCATGTCTGCATACCCTCTTAATATTATTTGAACTTTGGTAAGAGGCATCTAAAGCCCCTCAAGGTCAATACACATTCCAGTAACCTTTACATACCAAAGATTTATATCTACTGCATCTTTGTTTTCATTCTGAAGATTGAGACCATTTCCTTCCTAATCTACCTCATCTCTCTCCTCTAAGCCATCCTCATTTAAATCCTTCAATGCAATCACTTATGTTTCTGACTTAGTAAGATGACCCAAGAACGTAATACACAGAGATAGAAATTTCCTGAGAAGATAACAAAGAGAGTTATCCTTTGTTACTATCCTTATAGAGTTACCCTATATCCTGCTATTCATGGATGTATTCTGAGGAGGGGCTCCTCTTGAGTTTGGCCCTGCCTTCACTCTCTGCATGTTTTCTGCATTATGTCCCTGTTTTGTTTCATTTCTCAGAGACCAAGTTTTGACTTCACCACAGAGGTAAAATTCACCAAGTCTCCATAAAATGGAATTAAAGACATTTTGATGCTAGCAGTATTTCTGTAATTTGGCCTGAATTACTCAAGCACAAATGGGCCAACACTGTGCATTTCCATATGATACGAGTCTCCAGGCTGCTCACTTATATTCCCAATGTTCATATTCAGGTGCATCACAGAGACACAGCCTATTTTAGCACTTAATTAATGTATTTATAAAGTCACTTTGAAGAGCACTACAAGCATGTTAAATGTTCCACTTGTTTCTTCCTTAAGTTATTTTAGTATGTCGTGAGCACTTGATTAAAATTACTTGTATGTTTTTAAATAACCTAACAAGCTTTAAGGAGTTCATTATGTATTTACACATTAAGTCATTAAAGTAATAGGAAAATTATCATAGCAATAAGGTTTGAACTCTAATCAGCACATAACAAACAACACCTAATACGCACAATTTTGTGACTGCTTTACTGGAGAACAGCTATTAGTATGATGTCTAATCATTTCTCTTTATCAATTTTGTCAGTGAATCTATGACTTTCTTATTTCTCAGGCTGTAGATAATTGGATTTAAGAAAGGAATTATGACAGTGTAAAATAGCGAGTCCGTCATATCTTGATCTGCTGACTTTACAGAAGTAGGGCGCACATACATAAAGAGAAGAGGGCCATAATATAAAGACACAGATAGAAGGTGGGCTCCGCAGGTTGAGAAGGCCTTCTTTATACCCTCTAGAGACTTCTTTTTTAAGATTGTAAAGAGAACCAGTGTATAAGAAACAAGAACAGTTGTAATAGTGAATACCTGAATGGACCCAGAGAAAATATAAACTATTAGAATATTAATGGAAGGGTCAGTACAGGAAATCATAAACAAAGGTTCAATATCACAGAAAAAGTGATGTAATATGTTGTCATTGCAGAATGTTAATCTGAATACTAAACCTGTATGAATCGTGGAATGAATGATGCCACTTAGAAATGAGGAGACTATTAGCTGGGTGCATAATCTGTTGGTCATCATCACTGGGTAACGTAAAGGGTTGCATATGGCTACATAGCGATCATATGCCATAGCTGCCAAGAGAAAACATTCTGTGGTTGCACTAAATGCAAACGAAAAGAATTGCATCATGCATTCCGAAAGATGCATTACATTACTCCTGGCAAAGAATTTGACCAACATGTTGGGTGTCACTGAGGAGGATATTAAAGCATCCACAAAGGCTAAGCTTCCAAGGAACAAGTACATGGGGATGTGAAGTTGAGAGTCATTCCAGATGAGAGAAATAAGACCAAGGTTCCCCACAATGGTGAAGAGGTATATCACCAAGAACACCAGGAACAAGGGGATTCCCCACTCCTGTTGATATGTAAGTCCTGTGAGAACAAACTCTGTCAGCAAGGATGCATTTTCCTTTTCCATGTCTCATTGGATGTTCCCTGAAATGAAATGCAATAAATATCAAAAGGCATTCATAGTGGATTTGTAAATTATAAATTGGCAGAGGCAATCAATTTAAGATAAATGATATCCCTATCAGAATGCCCTTTCAGTTTGAAATAATATTACTATATAGGAGGTAGCTACTTTGGGGATTTCAACAATTAGTATAAGTACAATATGTTCAGCTTAAAAATATACAGGAAGTAATATGTTATAAAAAGGAACTATTGGACCATGCTCAAAAATTAGGAGGGATGTGAGAATTTTAGGGAAATTTTGAGACCAAAAGTTGGAATCTGAGGCAGTTGAATAAACTTTCAAAATCTGGATGATAATAAAATTGAATGTCATGTGAAGGATTTTGTGCTTCTTTTGTCAGGTAAGACACATACACTGAAATACTGCAGAGCCATTTTTTAATTTTATTTATTTTATTTTTAAGATTTATTTATTTATGCAAGAAGTGTGGTACAGGCCAGAGGCCGGGGAGAGTGAGATAATTCATCAGAGACAGAGCAGGGAGTGGAGCAGGCACACTGAAAACACTGCTGAGGGGTGCAGCAGGTGAGACAGGAGAGGATGTCTCCCTGAGCAGCTGGGAGTTGAACCCGGCTGCAGAGGTGCAGACAGCTTTAAAGCACTTCGCTCAACCTGCTACAAGGAGACCCAATAGAGTGTATTTTCCAGGTCAATGTTTGAGGTTAATAGTGAATTTTTGAGGTTAATGTTAGTAAATTTAGACATCATGGATAGGAAACTACAGTCAAAGCACTGTTCAGGGCAATGTAATTGGTGTGTAGTCATTTTGAAAGAAGCTACATGTCAGTGTCTTGTTTAGAGCAGTACCATTGTGAAGATTTCTTTTGTGTTTTTTGGTTTTTTGTTTTTTAAAGATTTATTTATTTATTTATGCAAGCACTGGGTACAGTCAGAAGCGCGGGAGAGTGAGAGAATGAGCCAGAGCCAGAGCGGGGAACAGAACAGACAAACTGAGGAAATACACTGCTGAGGGGAGCATTGGACTTGGCAGGGGAGGTCGGCACACCATGTGGGACACTTGCTGGCAGCCCAGGATGGAATGGCGTGCAGAGACTGCAGGCAGATTTGCAACCCAGCACTCAACCTCTGTGCCACCAGGGGAGGACTCATTTTGAAGTTTTAAGGTAGAAATTAATTCAGTTTGTCAGAAGGATATAAGAATCAACACTTAAAAACCAATACCCTCCACATGATTAAAATGTGAAGTATTCCAACACTAATGATAAAGGACCGATCACAAAAATCTACAAAGAGCTGATGAGATTCAACAAAAATAAAGAAAATAATGCAGTCAAAAAATGGGCAGAAGAACTAAAAAGAAACTTCCACAAAGAAGAAATGCAAACGGCCAACAGTCATATGAAAAAATGTTCAACATCACTTGTAATAGGGAAATGCAAATCAAAACTACAATGAGATACCATCTTACACCAGTGAGAATGGCACATATTTAAAAAACTAGCAACAACATATGTTGGTGAGGTTGTGGAGAAAAAGGAACTCATCTGCACCTTTGGTGGGAGTGCAAACAGGTCCAGCCACTATGGAGAGCTGTGTGGAGATTTCATGACCTACTAAAGCTAGAGCTTCCATATGATCCAGCAATTCCACTCCAAGATATTTACCCAAATGACACAGAAACATTCATTCCAAAGGGCACCTGCATCCCTTTGTTTATAGCAGCACTATTTACAATAGCTAAGCTATGGAAACAACCCAAATGCCCAAAAATGATGACTGGATCAAGAAGATGTGGTACATATACACAATGGAATATTACTCAGCAATCAAAAAAGATAAACACATGCAGTTTGCAGCAACATGGATGGAGCTGGAAGGGATCATGCTCAGCGAAATAAGTCAGAAATAAAAAGAAAAATACCAGATGGTCTCACTCATAGCAGGAATTTAGAACACCTAAATAAGAGACCAGGAAAAAGACTAATTAATACAAAGTAAAAATCAAAAACAACAAGCAACTATAAACCAAACACACACTATTGGTTGGGGGAAGGAAGGGGAGAGGAAGGACTAGGGTCGAAATAAGGGGGGGGGTGCAATTGTATGGGGAATATAACCAAAATGATAATGCATACATTGCAAAAATGAAAAATGATGTAAGAATTATATAAAATAAAGTATTAAAAAATAAAATGTGAAGTGCTCAAGTTGAGATAACATTCCTAGCCCTTGGGTGATAGGACCTTGGGAGTGACAAGGAAGACAAATAGAGGCAAAGGGTTTTAGACAGTAGAGGTATGAGGACTTGGTGACGTTAGACATGCAGGGCATGTCAGTGAAGCAGAGAGGACTCAACTGATTGAGCTGAGGGTCATCAAAAATTGAATCAAGAATTCAGTGGCAGTGCTATTGTGGAGAGTGTCCTCTGAACATCCAGGCAAAATGAGATTATAGGCAAGAGTCTACTAGATTTTAACGGAAATAATATCAAGAGTGATGGGGGAGACTGAAATAGGATGTCCATTGAAATGTGTGCAGAAAGAGAGAAGGAATAGAAAAAAACTTGAAGGTATAGGAAAGAGATTACAAAGAAAATGCACAGCATGTATTAGATGGCCAACATCTGATCCCCTTTTCTACCACCTAATCTTTGTGTCTTGCAGAGGTAACCACCCAGTCAAGAAGCCCAAAGAGCTAGAAACTCACTTTCCCATTCCCCTTTGTCCTAGAGTGAGAGGGATGCCTGGATTTGGCAAGTCGATTCACTGAACCTACATCTGGAATATGGGGAGAGGAATAAAGAGGTGCAGGTACAAAAGAGAGTATTAGATTCAAAGGCAATCCTATGAAGGCCAGCAGTTGTGTCCTGTATCCACAATAGTGACATTGTCGGTATGAGTTTCTGGTGGTCCAAATTCAGGGAGAGTGACAACAACTCTCATTGAGCTAGTGTTGGGACATGACATTGGCTATTGATGGGCTCCTTTTTTAATTATGTCCCTGCACACTTTTCAGTGGATTCTCCAACCTCCCTTTCATGTCTCTTTTAGAGCCAGTTTCTACTCAGTTATCTCACTTCCTCTTGCATCCAGGAACCTTGGTTCACCCAAAAGGCTTAGTGAGAGACCAGAAAAGGATATTAAGCAGCATGAACTGAGAAGCAGGTGTGAATTATATAATTAATGTTGTGAACACTAAAACACTAAAGAAGGGCAAATTGAAATACAGTGCAAAAATCCAGAATGAATGCTCTGCTTGGATACAAAACAAACAAACAAAGCAGATCATTTAGTATGGAAACTGAGAGACTCATAGTGGCTTTTTATATTTTTCATTTTTGTTTTTAAACAGGCTTGTTTATAGAGTGGCTTTTTAAAGAGCACTATGGGGTTTGTTGTGGAGTTGAGGTCAGAGGATAATAAGTGAATGGGAAGCAAGTGGTACAACAGTGAGGAAAATGAAACTGCTCTGACAACTGTGGAGGACATTTATTTTATTTGGCTTTTATCTATGCTCATAGACAGATGTGAATTTTTGTCCTGCAGAATACTGTCATGAAAGTTTTCAAAAGCCAGAGGAGGACATTGAGAGAAGAAGGGCGGGGGGACTTGAATAAGTAATTACGTAGTTGAAATGAAAACCAGAGGAAGCTAACACAGGAAGCAGAAAATAATGGAGACAAGGCAATGTGGAAAGACAAAGCAATGAAGTAGTGTGATATGTAAGAGAAAGACTGCAGATGAAATAGGAGAAATGTTCAGATGTGAGCAGTAAATAGTTGTCTTAACTGGTTCTCATTAAAAGTTGTCAGCTCTGGGAATCCTTTATTTCTGTCACCTATAATTCCAACTTTATTTTCTGTGGTGTTTGTGTAAAAAGAGACTTTGATTTTAATTTTACATTATATATTCATGTATACTTAAGTGTTCACTGCTTGATAGTTTTTTGCCATATTTAAATTACTTTTTGTTATTAACAGTTATTAGAATTTTCTCTAGATATTCTTTGGTTTTACTTAAGATCACCTGTTTTATTAGCAGAATACATCATACCAAAGACTGGAACCTAAAGCTGGTGATCTAAATAGCAGGATATGTAATTATTGCTGTTAAATAAGTTTGTTTTGCATCGGGTTTCTTCTTTGCCTTCCAGATAACTTAATAATTAAAAATTACCTAAGTCACATAGAGTGTGGGTACACACTATGTAAGAGATAGAGTAGTGGTAAATGAATTTAATGTCAGAATGCATGAAAGGAGAGAGGAAATAATCTTAAAGTGACTTACCTTAGTCACTAGTTTTATTCAGAGAAGGTGATTGTTAAAGAGAATGTAACTCTTTATGAGAACAACCACAAAGATTTCTTACATAGGAAACATTATCCCTTGAATCTTTAACCCAGTTCAAATGAAAATTGTTTAAAGTTACTATTTACCAATAACTGCCTTATAAAGTCATTATGATAACAGGTGAATCAAACATTGAAGGGGAATGGTTTAGTCTTTGGTGTTTTATTTATCCTGACAGCACAAAAATAAAATACATTGATTAAATAAATAATCTAAGTAATCTAATTAATCTAAGTAATTTTTTTCTTCTGGCTACTTTTGCATCTTGAACCCAACCTAAATTATTTTGAATTAATACAGTAGTTTAACTTTTTCTATAATGGGATGATGAATATTAGAAAAATTATTTCTAACTTACCCATGCTTGTGCAAAATTGAGAAGATCCTCTCAAAGTGTTAGTTTTCTAGAGTGGATAAAAATACAGTAGCATTGGAATGAAAACATAGGTCACAATTCTTTGCATGCTGCATCATTATGGAGACTTCTTTTTGTCAAGCTCAGAAAAAATGTCACATATATGTTTGTTTTGAATACCAGAGTCAACCAATTGTATAAATGTATGCTTTTGCCAGAAGACGAAGGTGTAAAGACGTAAAATTTCCACATTAGTGTCCAAGAATTCCCTTAAGGAAAAAGCTAAGTTGTTCTGGGCATTGTGGATTTGAACATGTGTAAGAAGTCCAAGTTGCCCCACAGGGTATTACAGTCCATAAACATCAAGTCAGTCCAGTGTTCATTGTCTCAGTGAAACTGCATTTTATACAGTATTTTCCAACACAGAATATATTACTGACATGTTTATAGAAAACTTCAGTTGTGTATGTTACTCTGAGTGCTCTGAATTGTATGGTCTTGTCTGGGCTAACTGTACATTATTTTAAAGAGGACAGAGTTCTATATTCTTGTAGGAGGCTACCCCATAAAAGTTATCCTCATCATACAAACTGGAGTGTGGCTACTTACTAAATAAGGGATAGAACAGTGGGGCAACACTCAATGAATTTAATGTCAGAATTCATGAAAGGAGGGAGGAGTTAATATTAAAGTGACTTACCTTAGTCAAAATTATATCAGAGAAGGTGATTACATTCCACACCTATGCTCATTCCCTCCTCCTCCGTTTTAAGCTGAAATCCAGTGAGAAATACTCATAGATTCAAAGGATGGCTGGGCAGTAAGGTGGCTTGGGGAAGCAAAAGAAAAACAAATGAGCACAGCGTGAGGTGGCCTAGACCAAACATTAGTATCTATCTATCTTCTGGAGACCTTGTTAAAATGTAGATTCTGTTTCAGGAGATCTGAGAGTCACCTTAGGATTTTCATTTCTAACAGTATGTGCCTATGGATTCCTGTCATCACAGGGCCCTGAATGTTGGCCAGCCTAGATTATCATTGGCTAGTCTATATTGATTTAGAAGTATCAAAAAAGATATGTATGGCTGTCATGCAAAGGTAAAAGCAAGGAGTATCCGGTGAAAATATCTCCTAACTAATTTTCCTCCCTATCTTTGAATACAAATTTTTCTCCCTATCTTTGAATTTCTGTTTCCAATATTGTTAGTCTGTTCAGTTTTAATTATATACCTTAAATTTAATTATGTTTAATGTATATACTAGTTCATTGTTATGTGAATTTCATTTCTCTGATGACTAATTGTTATAAGCATCTTTTTATGTCCTTTTGGATATGTCCTTTTTTTTTTTTTCCCACTTGTCAAAACCACTAGCAACAGGCCCAGCCTTTCCCTGTGGGATCTCGGTGCAACTTTTTTTTTTGTGATTTATTTTTTATTTTTTATTTAAATTCTATTTTTATATTCCCTATACAATTGCACCCCCTTATTTTGATCCCATCCCTCCCTTCCCCGCCCCACACCCCTCATAGAGTGTCTCTGGTTCATAGTTGTTTGTTGATTTTGATATTTTCTTTCTTATAGTTATTTTTTTCCCAGTCCCTTATTTAAGTTTTCTAGATTCCTACTATGACTGAGACTATCCGGTATTTTTCTTTTTCTTTCTGGCTTATTTCGCTGAGCATGATCCCTTCCAGCTCCATCCATGTTGCTGCAAATTGCATGTGTTTATCTTTTTTGAATGCTGAATAATATTCCATGGTGTATATGTACCACATCCTTTTTTTTTTTAAAGATCTATCTATCTATCTATCTATCTATCTATCTATCTATCTATCTATCTATCTATCTATCTATCTATCTATTTATACAAGCACTGGATACAGTCAGAAGCACGGGAGGGTGAGAGAATTCACCAGAGCCAGAGCGGGGAGCAGAGCAGGCAGAAGGACCGAAGTACACTGCTGAGGGGAGCAACTGGTGGCAGGAGAGGTCTGCGCACCATGTGGGACTATCCTCCCGTGGCCAGGGAGCAGCCGGGGATCGAACCGGTGCTGCAGAGGATGCGGACAGCTTCGCAACCCAGCGCTCAACAGTTGTGCCACCAGGGAGGCCCTGTACCACATCGTCTTGATCCAGTCATCTATTTTTGGGCATTGTGGTTGTTTCCAAAGCTTAGCTATTGTAAATAGTGCTGCTATAAAAATAGGGGTCAGGTGCTCTTTGGAACTGATGTTTCTGTGTCCTTTGGGTAAATACCTAGGAGTGGAATTGCTGGATCATATGGAAGCTCTATGTTTAGTAGGTAAAGATCTCCACACAGCTCTCCATAGTGGTTGGACCAGTTTGCACTCCCACCAACAGTGCAGGAGAGTTCCTTTTTCTTCACATCCTCGCCAACATTTGTTGTTGCTAGATTTTTTAATATGTGCCATTCTCACTGGTGTAAGATGGTATCTCATGGTAGTTTTGATTTGCAATTCCCAGATTGCAAATGATATTGAACATTTTTTCATATGCCTGTTGGCCATCTGCATTTCCTCTTCAGAGAAGTTTCTTTTTAGCTCTTCTGCCCATTTTTTGACTGGATAATTTTCTTTGTTTTTGTTGAGTCTTGTCAGCTCTTTGTAGATTTTTATGATCAGTCCTTTATCATTACTGTTGTGTGCAAAAATGTTCTCCCAGTCGGTGGGGTTTCTCTTTGTTTTGGTTATTGTCTCTTTTGCTATGCAGAAGCTCTTTAATTTGATATAGTCCCAGCTGTTGATCTTTGCCTTCACTATCACTGCTTTGGGTGATGTGTCTGTAAAGATGTCTTTGATGTGTATATCACATAGTGTTTCGCCTATATTTCCTTCTATGTATTTTATGGTTTCAGGTCTTATGTGTAGTTCTTTAATCCATTTTGAGTTGGTTTTTGTGTATGGTGTGAGGTAGTAGTCAAGCTTCATTCTTTGCATGTAGCGACCCAGTTTTCCCAGCACCATTTATTGAACCAACTTTCTTTGTTCCAATGCATATTTTTGCTCTTTTGTCATAGATTAGTTGACCATAAATCTGTGGAATTATTTCTGGATTTTCTATTCAATTCCATTGGTCTGTGTGTCTGTTCTTGTTCCAATACCATGCAGTTTTGATGATTATGACTTTGTAGTATAGTTTGAAGTCTGGGATTGTTATGCTTCCATTCCCTTTTTTTTTTTTTTCCAGGAGAGCTTTGGGTATACAGTGTATTTGGTGATTCCATAGGAATTTCATCAATAATTGTTCTATTTCTTTGAAGAATGACATTGACATTGAAATTTTTATTGGAATAGCATTGAATCTGTATATTGCTTTCGTTAGGATGGCCATTTAATAATGTTTATTCTTCTAATCCATGAGCAGGGGATGACTTTCCACTTCTTTGTGTCTTCTATTTCTTTAAACAGTGTTTTATAGTTTTCTTTGTATAGGTCCTTTACCTCTTTTGTTGGATTTATTCCCAAGTATTTGATTTTTTTTGTTTCAATAATAAAAGGGATTTTTTTTATTTCTTCTTCTTCAGATTTATTGTTTGTGTATAGGAAGGCTACTGATTATTTGCATGTTGATTTTGTATCCTGCCACTTTACTGAACTGATTGATGAGTTGAATTAGTTTTTCTGTGGAGTTTTTGGGGTTCTCTGTGTATATTTTCATATCATCTGCAAATAGTGATAGCTTGACGACTTCTTTTCCTATTTGGATTCCTTGGATGTCTTTCTCTTGTCTTATTGCTCTGGCTAGGTCTTCCAGTATTATATTGAAAAGCAGTGGTGAGAGTGGACATCCTTGTCTTGTTCCAGATCTTAATGGAAATGCTTTCAGCTTTTCACCATTGAGAATGGTACTGGCTGTTGGCTTGTCATATATGGCCTTTATGATGTTGAGGTATGTTCCTTGTATCCCAAGAATTTCAAGGGCTTTTATCATGAATGTGTGTTGCACTTTGTCGAAGGTTTTCTCGGCATCTATTGATATTATCATATTGTTTTTATATTTCTTTTTGTTGATGTGTTGGATAACATTGATTGATTTTCAGATGTAGAACCATCCTTGTGTCCCTGGAATGAATCCAACTTGGTCATGGTGAATTATCTTATGGATACATTTTTGGATTCTGATAGCTAAAATTTTATTGAGGATTTTTGCATCAGTGTTCATTAGGGAGATTGGCCTGTAGTTTTCTTTTTGTTTGTCCATGTTCAGTTTTTATTAGTGTAATGTTGGCTTTATAGAGCATGTTTGGTATTATCCCTTCCTTCTCAATTTTTTGGAAGAGTTTGTGAAGGATAGGCACTAATTCGTTTCTGAATGTTTGCTAGAATTCATTAGTAAATCCATCAGGTCCTGGGCTTTTGTTTTTGGGGAGGTTTTTGATTACCATTTCAATTTCGCTGCTTGTAATTGGTCTGTTTAGGTGATCTATTTCTTCTTTATCTAGCTTCGGGTGATTGTAGAGTTGTAGGAATTTGTCCATCTAGTCTAGATTGTTGAACTTTTTTCCATATAACTGTTCATACTAGTTTCTGATTATTCTTTTGATTTCTGCTGTGTCCGTTGTGATTTCTCCTCTTTCATTTATGATCCAGTTTATTTGTGCTTTCTCCCTTTATTTCCTTTGTGAGTCTGGCTCGGGGTTTGTCTATTTTATTTATTTTTTCGAAGAACCAGCTCTTGGTTTCATTGATATTTTGGATTGTTTTTTTAGTTTCGATTTCATATTTTGGCTTTGGTTTTTATTATTTCTTTTCTTATACTGGTTTTGGGGTTTCTTTTGTTGTTCTTTTTCTAGTTCTTTGAGCTTCAAGATTAGTTTGTTTCTTTGAGTTCTTTCTTGTTTCTTGATGTTAGCCTCTATTGCTATATATTTTCCTCTTATTACTGCTTTTGCTGCAGCCCATACATTTAGGAAATTGGTGTCCTCCTTGTCATTCAGTTCAAAGAATTTTTTAATTTCTTCTTTGATCTCCTCATTAGTCCAGAGTTCTTCCAGTAGTGTGGTTTCAATCTCCATGAGATATGAGAGTTCCTTGCCTTCTCTTTATGGTTTATTTCTAGTTTGATGCCTTCATGGTCAGAAAAGATCGTTGGTATTATTTCAATCTTGGTGTATCTGTTGATGTTTGTCTTGTGTCTCAGTATGTGATCGATCCTGGAGAATGATCCATGTGCGCTTGAGAAAAATGTGTACTCCTTTTTTTCTGAGTTTAGTGTTCTATAGATGTCTGTTAACCCAAAGTGCTCTAGATCCTTATTTAGAGCTTTAGTGTCTTTACTTATTTTTTGTCTTTTTGATCTATCCATTTTTGATAGTGGTGTGTTGAAATCTCCCACTATGTATGTGTTTTCTCTGATGTCTGTTTTCAGAGATGACAATAGTTGTCTCATATATTTTGGTGCTTCTTCCTTTGGTGAATATATGTTAATGAGTGTTATTTCTTCTTGAAGTATTGTCCCCTTGATCATAATGTAGTGACTTTTGGGGTCTCTTTTTATCTTTTGGAGTTTGAAATCTGTTTTATCTGATATAAATATAGCTGTTCCTGCTTTCTTTTTTCGTCAATTTGCTTATAGGATTGTTTTCCATCCTTTAACTTTGAGTCTATTTTTATCTTTTGTAGCTAAATGTGTTTGCTGGAGGCAGCAAAAGGTTGGGTTTTGTTTCTTCATCCAGCCTGTGACTCTGTGTCTTTTTATTGAAGAGTTTAGTCCATTTACATTTAGAGTTAATATTGATATGTTAGCATCTGTATTTGCCATTGTGTTTGTCTTTCCTTTGATTTAATTTATTTATTCTTTTAATAAC